TAATACTCTTTGAATATAATGTTAACAATTATATCATTACAGTTAAACAAACCAGATATACATCTTCATGATCACGAGCTTACTCATACATTTACAGTTACCCATACTCTTCATCATGCTTTTCAGACCAGTCTAGTTGGCAGCTCTCCCTTCAGGGAGCGACTTGGAAGCAATCGTCTACCAGAGAAACCGAGACCAAGGTTTGAAAAAGCTTAGATTGATGATTTCGGCATTGTTGCTTTCTACAAATGTAATGGTATAGCGTGCAGCATATCCATTTTGTAATGGTGGACCATTGTGGTTTGATATTTGATGATTTTTCATTTTGCTTGTTTGCTTTGTGCTATGTATGTTCATTTTCTAAATAGGACTACTCTTCAACTACTTACACACAATTCTTAAACAGTAAATTTTTAATATTGCAGTCACGATAAGAGTTTAAATGATTTACATGTACATTTATAGTTATTATAAATGTACTTTATTGTGTGCAAAACAAAAATTAATGATTAATTACCATAAATGATCGAATTAGTATTTCTCTAATTCTTACAGTACTTTCACGATCGAATGAATATGTATTCGACTAAACCGCCATGCAGTTTTCATAATGAAAAAAAATTTCCTTTTACACGAAAAAATTGTTAACGGAAGTAATATTATAAATATACATTTTTAAACAACTATGTTACATTTTAGGAAAAGTATTGCACATCATTTTCAACAAATGCACATTTGCATGTTTTGTCAGGTGGCAACATTAGAATTTATCTCCACACATTTTTTGTACGACACTGGTCATATTGCATTAAACAGAAGTCAGTCTAAGAATGCTGTGTCAAACCTGTATTTTGTAATTTGCTTACAAATACTACATGCTTTCACAATGGTGATAAGTATAAAGGTACCTTTAGTGTGTCCTATTCTGAGGGGGTTGTGATCAGAATAGAGAAAAAAACTGTTTTTGTAAATGTTTGAGAAAATCTTTGTACATAGTGCCCATTCTGTATCTTTCAGCTGCTTTTATCTTTCTTTCCATCATTTAGTAAATATCCAATACAGAGCACTTGTATCATTCATTTTGCATTTAAGAAAAGGATATTAACGGTAAATTTTCAAATATGTGACTTTAATTCTACAAATGCTCTGTATAGTAGAAAACATTGGTAGTGAGTGAGGGAGTGACGGGGTTCTCTGTACAGGAGAGGCATGTAGTGAATACCGCTGCGACTGCCCGCACGTGCCTCGACACTCCTCGTCACGTGCCAAACAGGTTGGTTTTACTCTTTTAATTTCTTTCAATTCAACTATAAACTTAAATTTTTGCTATTTATAACAAAATATGTATGTACAACGTTAGGTATTTCGGGGTAACTGGCCGTGAAACGCTACTCTATCACGAAGCGCTACATTATGGCCGATAACGTAACGAACAGAAAAAGCAATTGAACTACAATAAAGCGAATACATATTGATATCCCGGATAAGACAGCATTTATAGAGCAGACATGCCTAATTCTAATCTAAGCACAAACTCAATTACTACTGTAAATTATGTTCTTATAGAAACGATCTAATTATTTTAGTATTAAAACAATAATTCTAAAAAATGATATCTCTCTTCGAGAAATGGTTGACTTCTTTCTCTAAATTCCAATATTATATTTATAATGTACATACATATTGGTTGAAGTTATATTCTATTCTAATTATCGTTTAAAATAAATGCAAATGATATGCATATGCAAATAAATTTTGTGGCTTTCACAATGCAATTTTAAACATTGCTTAATATTTTAGTCGCTTTACATCTCATTGCCATGCACGTTAACGATAAAGGCATTACGTGATTACATTGTAATCCTATTTTTGGCAGGTCAGGTTCAAAAGTGATGGACAGGGGTCGAATTTCGCCAGCTAGCGAAGCTGTGTTACCTCTTTCGCTTGAGCAACAGCAAGATCATTTTGATTCTAACGAGGATAGGTAAAATAAATACCTAAGTAAATTAAATCAGTTATTCGTGTATTGTTCTAACGTATAAAATTCACCAACAGTGCGAATATGGAGTTAACAAAGATAAAGAGTACTACAGCAAATAATGAAATTCTAGAAGCAATGAAACATCCACAAAGTGGTGTGGGATTCCTTACGCAACACCCATCTCTCCCAAGTCAAACATTTGTTAGCGCGGATGCCGTGCAATGGTTAAACAATCATATCGAAGGAGGAGTAACGGTGGATGGTGCTGTTAACATTATGAATGTAAGAAGGAGGTTTTTATACGCTCGGAAATAATCGATCACATTGTAATAGCACTTTTTCATCTAGGGCATGATACAAGATAAACTAATATGCCACGCTTCCGGTGACTTTTCCAAATCTTTTATTTTAGGGTTTTATTTGTACCATGTAGTGCAAGACAAAGAACATCAAAGGGGTAAGAGGAAGTATCTATTACACGTTGCATGCTAATTTGCAAGTTGTTTTGTATTTTGTTTATATTCAAGGAACAGATTATTTTTCACCCACGGGTGATTTGCAAAGTTTCGAAAACGAATGGGTGGAGGTGGAAATAAAAGCACCAAAAGGTTGGTGCGAGCCTACTTCGCCAGGAACTTTACCAACAATATCGTCTCCGATAACTATCCCCAGTTGTGATACTGTTGATGAATCGAACGTACCGTCATTTCTTAAAGACGATCTAGACTTAATAGACTCTGTAGATGATTGGCAAGGTGAGTTATAACACTATTATTTTAACGTAAATTATATCGTAAGGGCTTTCTTCCCATTACTAGACCAAGTTGTTTTTGTTTCTAGTTCCACCATACAAGCATACTTATTTAGATATCGATATAAATAATAGAAGCGACCGAATTGAATGGGGGCATTTAAGATATCAATCCGTATATAAAGTAGATCATTCTTATGAACTTGTAGTACAATGGGTAGCATCATCTGGCAGCATAGTCGCCGATCTGGTAAGTACACGTATTATTTTTTGCATGTAATTTTGAAATTAAATTTCGGTAAGTATCAATATTGACTTCGACTTTTATTTTTAAAAGATATTTGTATGGCAACGTAAAGCACAAACTTGTGGGATTCAGATGGTACCTATTCCCAGTGATTTATTAGCACTACCGTTCACTTCGAAAAGTGATCCTTTAAGGGGGCCTATTTTTATACCATTAAATACAGAATGTCTTATGACAAATAAACAACAACTTTTCGAAGGTTTGTTGTCAATTCGATGACGATACAAATTTAAGTAACCCGAGAGTTAGTATTTAGATATTGTATTTAAAATATATTAATTATAGAATTCCGAGAAGATAGTTACACGCAACGACTATTCCTCTTTCAAGAAACAATCGTACAAAGATTTGGCTTTGTCCCGTGTTTAATAGAAAGTACTGAGAATGATCATCAATATGTGCACATGACTGGCAATGCATTTATACTAATTCCTTCAACAACAAATACTAAGATGCGTCCCCGAACGGCTACTAATGTTGTAAGACGAAATACAGGTCAAAAAGGATATCCAGTTCATCCCGATCAGCCTAGTCCGCATGAGGCTTATATTACGAGACATGTTAGCGGAAAAAATAAAAATGATTATAGCATAGACAGAAGAGTAAGTATCAGGTTTTTTTTACGAAAGGAATAGCCGTAGAAATAATTTTGGTTCGTTTAGATTGGGTTTCTTTGGTCATGGAATCATCTGGTTAGCCGAAAATGGAGATCGTCATCCACATTAGCTGGTGATGAACTATTTCAAAAAAAGCTAATTCAAGATTTTAGACATTTTTGTTCCAATGGAGATAATAGACTGAGACAATTCTGGGAATGTTGTTGGGACGTAAAAGAGAAATCATTTATACAAACAACTTAATAGTGTAAAATATAATATAGGTACTGTTTTATAAGCTTACACTTTAATTACAACAATAACGGAATTTATTTTTGCCATAATTAAACGTGTACCATTTTTAAATTATTAGAAAATCATTTTAAATATAATATGTACTTGTGATACAATTATTATTATCATGATAAAGAAAGTATGTACAAATTAAAAATATTTGCTGACGCTTAAAAAAGATGTAAATGAACTTAAAAGCAACGTTTGTAATATACATTTACGAGTTTACTTAGTTTGCATAAGGCACATATTGTTTTTACAAAACTAGTAATAATAAATTTATAATTTTTGTTACTCATACGTGTATCGATGCACTTACAAAAAGAAAAAAAATGAGGTTATATTAAAGTAAAATAGTCAGTGTTTTTACTCTACCAAAATGCCTAGAAGTGTGAACGTTAACGAAGAATGTTACATTTCTTATATAACAATATTTTAACCCCAAATTAAAAAATAATGATATTATGGTCAGTATATTTCGCATATACAAAATTATTATAAAGAATACTAAATACATTACATTACTAATTTAATTTTTGGAATTTCAAATAGACTGATAATTAAAGATGTGCGTCAACCCAAAAATATCAGATCGGGTCGGGACGAAAATTCTTTTGGAATCAGATCGAGGTTTTAAAAACAAATAAATTACAATTCAAAAATTATCCAAGTTACAAGATAGAGTGAAAATAATGCATCAAATTAATAATAAATATACGTATTATTATATTATACTTACCGATTTGATGAATTACTTTCACTCCAGCTTCCTAATTTTATAATTTTGAAGTCTTATAAATTATACTTTCTTCCGAGAAATCCGACACTTCCGGAAATCTCGAATATCGTCGAGAATCTCGAAACTATTTCGACTATTGAATTCCCGATATTTATAGGTTGGAACACCTCTACTTATAACGTAATCTAATAGTATTTTGTGCAATACATGACGCAAAAATCTATTTGCACCAAAATGATACAAATTTTTGAACAAAATATAGAACTGCGTTCCACATTTGGTAAAAAAAATTACTATGTCCAAATAATTCATAATTACTTAGAGTATTTGTACCTCAATGTGAATAATAAGTACATACCTAATTTTCTTAGAAACCCGCTCTAGAGGGAGGCGTAGCAAAATATTTTTTATTCCTCCTCATAAACGTTCGACTATAACAAAAACAAAGGAAATGATAAATATAATCGTAATGTATTTAACAATTAAATAAGAACTAGAAATAAAATATATACCTAGAAGCAAGTGGAGTATTAAAGAAACCACGGGAAGTGCTACGTTTAAGCAAAGATTCCGTGGATGGTGTATGTCTTAGTTCTGTTTTATGGGTGCCAATGCTGTTTAAGTTTTCGGGATTGACAAAATTTGCCCAGTAATCCGACGGAATTTTTAATAAATTTTCTACTATCTGTAAGAAATTATTTTGTATTTTAAAAGGATTCTCGAAATTAAAAAATTTATCACGTAGGAAACTTACTGCGACTTGATTTTTCGTCTCCGAAAGCAAAGACGTTGGTGATGGTTCTTGACAACTGTAACCCACCAATGTTGGCCCAAAGACTTTAGCCAGATTACTTATAGGCATTTTACATTCCGGACTACTCGAAACTCTTTGTAAGTGTAATATTAGAAAAGCAAGCGTATCTCTGTTAGGTTGAGGTAGCTCTGAAATTGCTTGGTACAAAGCAGCGTCGGCATCTTGTTTGTCAGTAATAGTAGTGGCACGAACAAAGTCGGCCCATAATCCTACGGTAATTAACGGCTCCCGTAATGACCTAATAATGAAGAAAAAATAGATATGAATATAATATTTCATTTTTATCAGGAAAAATATGTTTATGTAAACAAACCTGAGAAAATCTTTAAGAGTAGAGCATATGGTAGCTATATCGACATCGGAAAGATTAGGAGCTCCTTTGCCTTTTAGAAACTTTTCTTTTAGACATTTCACCTCTGTCAAACCACCATTCACTCTGTATAATCCTTGTTCGCCCATTCCTCTTAATTCCACTTCATTGATACAATGAACAACCAATGATGGTACCATTGGTGGAATCATAGGTGTATAGTCTGCTATGGTTCCCTTTGCGATAATATATCGTGATAATTTTACACGATAAATTAATGAGTCGTAAATATAAAAGAATTACTTACCGATGTGCCGCGCAGGGTAGGCGTATTTCCAGTAGGCACGCATGGTAACGGTACTAAGTCTTTACATTCCGTATGAGCTGTAGCTCTACAGTCTCGACATTTTAGAGCTACTTTTCCAAAACGAATTCTGAAATGTTATTTAATATGAAACGTTTAGATTACTTAATCGAATACAACTAAATTCTTGCGTGAATGTTTATACCTCTTATCACAGGGTGTACAAACTTCTGGTTTAATCACTGTCTTTGCTATAAAACTATGACCTCTAGTGGATTTTGTATTTAAAGTATATCCACCTATATTCGGACTAGGTTTGAAAACACCCTCAGAATCTGACCCTGATGTAAGAATTTCCATTCTTGGCGCGGAAGGCTGCAATACATTTTTTTTTATATAAAAATTATATAAGACATATAATAATCAATATTTCAGGCATACAATAAAAGCTCACAGCAGTATCAATTTGCGTTTGTTTCGCGTCAGCGGACGATAACTTTGTTTTATTACGATCGCCGCTTTTGTGTCTTTTGTACGAAGTATGCAATGGACCCAGTGGATCTACATTCTCGTCTCCGGGTATAGCTTCAATTACGGAAGACGCAGTAATAGCACCTTCTTTAGGCATTACTACAGTAGTTGTAGCTACTATTCTATCAGATGAATTTAATTCTGCAACCTTCTGTAACGTGCTACGACGTTTTTTTGTGGAGTATTCACCACTGGGTCTGTGTTCTTTCCATTCTCGTTTCTTTTGATTTTGTTGAATAATTACACTGGTATCTAAGTCATCCTCTGACTTTGAAAAGCAACTCAAGTCGCTTAATATAGAGCCAGTGGAGTCCAGCTCCGCTATAGTATTTAATCTAATAATAATAATAATTATAAATATCATCTGAAATATCAACAAAATAATTTCATTCGTAAAGAAAAACTCACTTGTCATTTTGATGTATATCTTTAATGTGCATGTTACTATGACGTCCGTTCAATGTGGTATTATTTAAGAACTGTAGTTTTTCTCGTGTTTCATCATTCAAGTTCCTACCACCATCATTAAATAAAAGATCTCTAGCCATAGCAATTTGTCTCTCCTATACATATAAGGATAATAGAAGTACATTATCAAATGATACAACAAAATTATAAAGAAATGTTACACATACCAATGAGTTTCTCTGTTCTTCCACTGTTCTTCTTTTTCGCTTTTCCTCATCTAAAAGTCTCCTGGCATGACTCAATTTTCTATCTAAATCTGCTGCTTCTTGATGAGCTTTGTCTAAGGCAGAGTGAAGCCTCTGGCATTCTTGTATCGATGCCAGCCATTTTTGCCTCATTTCCTCTTGATTGATAGCAAAATGCAAAAATTCTATATAAAAATAAAACGTACTTTTAAATACACATCACTTACAGCCACCTTTTGCATAGAATGCAATCGCGTTCTCTTTACAGTAAAATAGTGGCAAGAAATAGTACAAGTAAATCGAGAACATCGAGGTGTGTAAGAATGTATATTAAATACATGTGAAAAATTAAGAAAATTCGCAGATATGTAACGAACAAAATATCGTAGGGGGTAAGGGGGTTAATAAGATCAAAACCTTCTTCACAGGCTCCATTTATCAGCACGTCTGTGCATCGCACGATTTCATCGTGGCTTGCTAACATCGACAATGATGTGGTCATTTTTAAATCGATATAGATTTGTTTAAACGAAATTACAATATTTTATCATGAATACAGATCATGTAAGAGCACTGCGATAATTATCCGTAGATTACTTCGCTCTTGCGACGATTACACCGTTACAAATAACAATTCGTTGAAGTTTTACATCTAAGCTCGACAACGCGACGGACGTAATACATTTCTGTTACAGATTTCCAAAAATATTCACTCCAAATTAATTCCCGAAAAACGCTCGCAATATCGCGCCATGGAGCCGTTGACAGTGCACGTTGAACACGCAACAACCGCTTTCTACGCAATTTAAATTCGACCAATCAGAGAACCGCCTCTTCGTCGAGTTTCTTGTTCCTCCGTTAGGTGTCTTCGGCCATTTTTTGGCGGACAATCGAGTGAGGAGGATTTCGCGCGTTTTTAGCTCTTAAATTATTATTACTTTGTACTAGAAATAAAGCAAATATAACACATTTGCGTAAAACAAATATAGTAAGTTACCGCCAGAAGCTTAAACTACTTAAATTATTACATATTTGGCTTATTTTTGTTTCAGAAATTGATCATGAAGATTCCGTTGTTACGTTTCATTGCTACACGACACGAGACATGGGAGTAAGTCACACTCGAATGGCAAAAGTTATATTAATTACAAATATAAACCATGCGAGATGTAATACCATAGAACTAATTTCGTCAAAGTTTTAGATTCGTGAGATAAAAGCATAAATTACTTTAAAATGTCCGGTACGTTTTAACAATCTTTTCAACTTTTTATAACCATATAGTTGAAACTTTTAAATTTGAACGTTTAACTTTTCCGCATATACTTATTCATAGGTTATAATAGGTGTAATTGATATAATATTATACAAAAATGAACTGAATAATTGGTCATGTTTAGTATGAAATCAAAACGTTCGTGATTTCGTATTTTAATTTTCGTACGTGATTTTCTTTTTTCGTGAATTTCTTTCAACGTCAGTAAGGTTCAAACTTCATTTATTTTAAACATTTTAGGTTTGATGCGTCGGTCACCAGTGACCACCACGGCAATCATCTTGTTAATTATGAATTCTAGGTTAGTTAACCCGCTATCTAATCCGTTTTAGATTTTACTTTTAACACTTTATTATCGATTTATTGCAGAATATGCTTCACGTTTGTCGAACAATGTGGCACAAGTCCGCCTAACAATATATTAGGTAATTACACCATAGATGGCGCATATTTTGATAAGCCTACAGAAATTCTAACTTATCGATATACAGTCACTCTTTTACCACAATCGATTAATCGTGTTTTTCGTCTTACAGGTCCATCGAGTCAATTAAAATGACGTCGAAGCATAACGATCGTCGGTGAATATTTCAAGTTTGAATTTCTTCGTTCCTGATTCCACCGGATATCGAGACTCAAAGAAATGCAGCTGGAACAAGAGAGAGAGAGAGAGAGAGAGAGAGAAGAGAGGAGTAAGAGGGCGAGTGAGTAGCTAAGTATTATCGTCGGTTAGATCTTTGCGAGTACTGTGCCCTCGCTTCCGTACGTCTGCTATATCCTTTAACGCACGAACGACTTTAAAATTGCTCTTACCTCTTGCACCCTTCCATTTCTGCGTTCTCAACTTCTCGAACGGGTGTCGTGAACCGACCAATTTTGAACTATTCCCCGTTCCACGTGTTTCTCTACTTGCATCGTGTCCAGAATTTTCACGCAAAGACTCTTTGTAGAATTAACAGCATCTCCAGAACCGATAAAATGAGGACGCTCGCCTCTAAAATTAAATAGAGCTGCGTTTAAGGCGATGCAGTTTATTTTCACTGAATACTATACTAGGGAACTGTATAACTCAACCAAGAAAATAAATAAAGCTAGTGTTTATCGGTACTAGAAATATTAAAAATATCAGTAGCGATTTTCAACTATAAAAATTAATTTTACAAAGAAAAAGTATCATTGTATATGTTAAAATTATATTACACATGAAAAGTCGATGTACCGACTCAAAGTATTTGTTGCATGACCGCAAGGTTGAGGGTTAAGAGACTCGTACTGTGTATTTCAATCGATCAGATATAGTTTCACATATTTTTATAAAGAAATCAAGAAGTTTCTTTGCATAATGAACAACGATATAGCTCAATTTAAACGTGCAGGAAGTACAAGGCTGTTCGTTCTTGTTCTCCCCGTACTAAAAGATACTTGAGACATGCCTCAAGAACACTGGATTTTACAATAAGCAGAATCCACGAAAAACTGGGAAGGAAAGTTTTGAAACGATAATGGAGTGGGGTCGCGGAGTTATATTTCCGTGAAGAATCGAATCGATGATCCGTGAACGTAGTATTTCGTTTTCTCAAAGCAGGAGAGAGAGAGAGAGAGAGAGAGAGAGAGAGAGAGAGAGAGAAAGAGAGGGGTACCCATGGGATCGAAGAAGCTCCCAGGAATCGCGTAGTCAGGGGTTGCCTTACGGGTGCATGAATATTGAATGGCACGCTTGGTCGAGTTTTGAAAAACTCGCATTTATCCCCGTCGGTGAATCCCGCAAGCTCTATCATTCCCAGTGAAAGGATAATCGCGTCTTAACTTCCACAGGACTCGTCCTCGAAGCTACTTTTTAAAAGTCCCGCTTAAAAGAATAACCGAAACAGCGGATACAAATTGAAATCAAGTCGTAGGAATACGTAACTTCCGTATTCATTATTCGAGGACGAGTTTTAAAAGTGATTCTTATATCATGGAGTACAAAATGTGCTGTTATTGGAATAAAAAATACCACGTTGACATACCTAGGAAATCGAGTCGTAGGAAAGTTTTTAAAATACATGTATTGTTCGTATAAAAATGTAAGTTTTGCTAAAAAATACAACGTTGATTGTCCCGTAACGTCCTTAGTTGTTACAGTGTAATACAGTAAAAGTAAAACATGGCATTTTTACAACACGAATTCGTTTTAACAAGCTTAAGCAATTGAGGAACTCCCGATATAACACAGCACGCGTTGATTGTCTTTTGTGAAAATGATGCATTGAATGTTTTTATTCCAGTCTATTTGAACTGTGAATTCAAGAGAAGAGTGCATATTGTTCATGTCTGTTAACATTTTTGCAGCGTATTTTTATTTTTAATATTTTATATGTATATGCGCGTGAAAGTTCGTGCAGTTTATTTCAAAGTGATTTAATTTGTTTATAATGTTTCGGGAGAGCTGTAGCAAAAAACAAATATAGATAAATATGTCCCCTGTAAATTTCAAAAGATAATAGTAGTTACATTTATAAATTATAACGGAACCGTGTATACGATCTCGTTGAAGTGGACATTACGACGGAAATGACTTGGTCATCTATCGCTATTGTTGTTTTTATTTCCTTATACACAGTATGTCGGAAAAATAACGGAACTTTTTAAATTAAAAGAAGAAAATTAGTTATTTTGCCAAAAGTATTATTTTTTATTCAAAATACATCCCTTCTGCAGCAATACGCCGCTGGGCACGTTCGACTAGTACCAGCATAGATTTTTTTATATCATTTTGCGGAATCGCCTCAATGACTCTTGTCACCGCGCCTTGGACTTGCGTAACACTGTCATAAAACGTTCCTTTCATGGCCAGTTTGAGGTTTGGGAATAGGAAATAATCACATGGAGATAAGTCCGGCGAATACGGAGGATGTTGGAGCACACAGACCTGTTTTTTTCGCCAAAAATTTACGAACAGCGACAGTCCTGTGCGATGGTGCATTATCGTGCAACAAAAACCAACTTCCTGGCGCTCGATATTCGGGCTTCACTCGAACGATTTTTTCCACAAACGCTCCATAACACTCAGATAATATTCACCATTGACATTTTGACTCTGTGGAACTAATTCCCCAAGTATAATACCTTTAGAATCATAAAAACAGATCAACATTGTCTTCTCTCGTGACTTCTGGAATCGCAATTTTTTCGATTTCGGAGAGTCTGGGGACTTCCACGTTGCACTTTGGCGCTTTGTTTGTGGATCGTACTTGAAGCACCAAGTTTCGTCTCCAATCACAATCGATTCCAGGAATGTGCAGTTCCGTCTGGCTGTTTTAATAAGATCCTTGCAATGTTCAATGCGAGCAATCTGTTGGTCCTCATTTAATGCGTGAGGAACAAATCGAGCAGAGACTTTCCGTTTCTTTAAGTCCTTTGTCAAAATTTCGTGAATCATATCTTTAGTCGTATTTAATACCTCTGCCATCCATCTCACACTTGAAGTAGCATCGTAGGTAATCATTTCACGTACTTTTTCCACCAACTCATCGCGATTTTTCTTTTTTGGCCGGCCTGGCTTTGGGTCATCTTTCAAAGCATCACGACCGTTTTGGAATCGTTTATACCATTCGAACACACGTGTACGGGATAAACAATCATCACCACAAACTTTTTTCATCAATTCAAATGTTTCTGTAAAAGTTTTCCCGAGTTTGAAACAAAATTTAATATTTGCTTTTTGTTCCATTGTGTTTTTGCGACAAAGTGACAAAAGCTACTGCCACGTTAACCGTTATAACTTGACAATCCGTTAGTCGATTTCAATAATGATGCCTTTGTTTTGTAGAGGAAATATACAGATTTCAGGTTACATATTGTTTCAATAAATGACATTAGCAGTTTTCATTAAATTTAAAAAGTTCCGTTATTTTTCCGACAGAGTATGTATATTTTGGCGACTTCCCTACGAAACTATCTTATTTTATCCGATTACACTCGCGTGTAGCGTCCTACTCTATATTGTTGAAAATAAACGCAGCAATTGATTGAAAAGCTACTAGAACACACTTGTAAAAACAATTCTGTACCGAGTACGAATTGCGGTATATTGTACGTTAACAATGGATCTGTTGATAAAAAAGTTGAATCTCTATACCCGCTAGCGTATTCCCCTTGAAAATATCGTACTGATGAAAATCAGCACGGACGTAGACAAGGGTAAAAATATTTCACGTCTGTGCGTTTCACTTTACTAGTCCACGTTATATACCGGCGGAATTTTTATCGTGGATTTTTAATTTTCGCCGCAGCGATTTTTAAGCCCCGCCGTGGAGTTAGCCTCCCATTTGCTCGACAATTTTTGCAGAAAAGAATCGTGAATCGCGGGTCTCATTTATTCAAAAAAACCAGTTGTTTGCGTTTTAGCGTTCGATATTCCCCGTCTGTGGTTACACGTTCGATCCGCAGAATTTCGATACGGATCTTCTTTTATGTCTGCTTCACAG